TTCTTCAACTTACACACCTGATTCTAGTAATTAGACTAGAATTCAGGTGGTAGTATCATATATACTTCCTCATGCAAGAATGCATTATTAATATCAAGTTGATGAAGAAACCAACCTTGAATTGCAATAACAAAAAGTAGAGTTGATATTGTGGTCAACTTAGCACCTGGAGAAAAAGTATTAAGATAATCCACACCTGATTGTTGAGTGTAACCTTTAGCCACTAACCTGACTTTATATCTTTCTATAGTACCATCAGTCATTCTCTTGATTTTATAGACTCATTTATAATAAATGGGTTTTTTATTTGCAGGTAATGGAATTAAATCTCATGTATGCTTTTTCTCTAATATATCTATCTCAACCTCCATTACCTTTCTCCAACATGGTGAAGTAATGGTCTAGTTATATGTTCTGTGTTCTATTTCTAGGGAGGCAGCAAGTATAAAGGATTGATGGGTTTTATCAATGTTATTGTATGACCCAAAACAAGAAATGTAGTGAGGGGTCGATACATTAGAATTGATTGGGGATTTAAAGCCATATAAATAATACTCATTTAGATGAGATGATTATTTTCTAAGTCTTGTAGATTTTTGAGGTACATGAACAAGTTCATTATTAGATATAGAGATATCAAGTAATGTATTATCAGAATCAATAGTAGTTGAAGAATGAGAGATATTACGAGAATTGGTTGGTAGTGGAGACTCTTCATGTACTGCAACATCTTAGAGTTCAACAGACCAATTCTCATCACTACAATATGTTACATATGAGGCAGCATAAGTGTGTTTAAAGATTTTTTTGATGTGGACATGAAAGGAAATTGGGTTTCAACAAAGTCAACATCACGAGAGACAAAGAGTTTTTGAGATTGTAAATCAAATATTTTGTACCCTTTTATGTGTGAAGGATATCCAAGGAATACACATTTGAGGGTCTTGCTCTCAAATTTTGATATACTAGGAGAAAGATTGGAAGTAAAACACAAACAGCCAAATATTTTCATATGAGTATAGGTAGGAACAGATTTCAACAGTAGCGGCAAATATATATATATATATGTATATACATGTGAGAAAATAGTAAAAAAAAAGAGAATAAGGAGAGAGAGAGAGAGAGAGGCGTAATTGTGAGAGGAGAGAAAGGGTGGAACGACATCGACATGAGGAGAGGAGTTGTGCGACGCAGTGATGTACGAAGAAGAAAGAGAAGAAGAGAAAGAAGAATAATGGTCGGGTTGAGAGAGAAAGAGAGATGAGAAAAAGAAAGAAGAAGAAAGAAGAAAGGAAAAAGAAAGAAGAAAGAAAAAAAAAGAAGATGAGTTTCAAGAAAGGAGGAAGAAGAAGAAAAAAAACAAAGAAGAGGAGTTGCGAGAAAGGAGGAAGAAGAAGAAACAAAAAAAAGGAAAAAGGAAAAAAAAGAAAAAAAAGAAAAGAAAAAAGAAAAAAAAGAAGGAAAAAAAAATGAAGGAAGAAAAAATGGAAGTGTGGCGACCAATATGATGTTGGTGTGCCGCATGGGACAACGCGTGCTGATTCGATCATAAATACGTGGCATTTTTGGTGACATGCGTGTGGTGGCGCGCGGTGACGTTGGCGACCAAGACCGCGTGTCTAAAGGTAAAATTTGTTCTTTATTTCGTGTAATATAATTTCTAAAGTTATTAATAATTTAATATATGTGTTTTCTATTATTAACGAAAAAAATTATCCAAATGATATTCAAATTTATGAAAGGACTGTAGATCGAATTAGAAGGGATTCCCAAAGTTTTCTCGATCACACCATAGGTAAGAATTATGTATATTTCGTACAAAAATATAACATTGTGCTTATAAATTATAAATGATGTGTGTGAATATAAATACGTATAAATTGTATATGTGTATGTTTTGTATAGATATGAATTGATGAGAACAGAACTGATAAGAACAAATACATGAATAGTTAAGTATGGTGTGTTGTGATTGTGTTTACGTGTTTAAGAGTGAATATGTGTATATATCGATAGAGATTGCGTGTATGAAAATATAAAAACATATTCAGTGTGAGATATATAGTGATGATACATGTCTAAATTAGAGTATATGTGTGTGTATTAATGTGTGTACATATATTATGCATGTGAAATGTATAACCAATGTGTATATGTGTTAAATTTGGGTATACTACACTTGCTGTGTGATTTGGTGCAGATGTACAATGCACTGTACTTATTGTGTGAGTACAGTTGTGCGAGGAATTTGAGTATCTTGTGCTTGCTGTATGATCTGGTACAAGATAATTCAGAAAGTGATTTGAAATGTATGACCCTTATGTGCGTGATGATATCGTGTATTTTGTATATGTGTCTATGTTTAACTATGCATAAAAATTAAGATCTTAAGTATGAAATAAGTGAGTTAGAAATGAGAGAGATTTAGAAAGAGTGTAGAGTGTAAGGATTCTGAATACCTACTCCTTTAATTTGAATCAAGAAGGAGATGGGTGAGTGTGTGGCTGAAATTCAGCAGGTATCGTGAACCTGCACATAAATAGTGTTTGAAATCTAGTCTAGATGTAGATAGGTATTTGTGAGCGGGTTAGCTAGCAAACATAACTTCTGTGACCAATATAAGATTGTGTATCCTATCTATGTGATGAGGGGATCCTTTTTGAATATCCTTGATGACGATATAAACAACATCACGCGATGAAATCTTAGATGTGATATTTCGAGTGTATTATAATATTTCGAGTGTAAGTATGATTTAAAATAATAACAAGAATTGGATCAGAAGACTGAGATTATAATATGCTTCGTGATATGATTTGTTTTGTTGTGTATTTTGATTTGGATGTTTTGTTTGAAATTTTCTTAATTATAAATATTATTATATTTTATATATTATGTGAATGTATGTATATAAGTCTCCATTATAGAATTTTCTTTCTTATTGAGCTCGTGAAGGTCACCCCAATTCACCTCCATCTAGGTAAGAGAAGATGAAAAACAAGTCCAAGATTAATAGAAGATGACGAAAAAAACTTTATTAGTTTTTATTTTAATATTTAAATTAATTTAGATGTCTCAATTATTATAAACACATAATTATTTTATCACAAGGGATATATATTGAAGTGTAGTTCCGCTGCATATTTAATATTTATATGTTCCAATAGTTAAAAATATTGTGCTAACGTTCATACCCACCGACATTAAGGTTTGGGCTGTTACATGGTGTAGCTAAATCAAGGCATTAAGGTTTTGGTATTGTTTAAGAAGTTTGTTGTATTGCTAAAAGAGGGAGGCATATTTTACGAGATATTGCACTAAGAGTTGAATCTCATATGAGATTCAATTGTTTCAGGGGCCTTTTTAGTATTTTGAGAGATAGCTTTATTGACATTGACCACATTTCTAGACTTTGGCTTGTATCCTGGTGGATAATCATGTTTCGTGTAACACTTATCCACTGTATGACCAGTAAATCCACAATAAGTACAAATTGATCGTTTTTTATTCCCAGCTACATAGGTTTTCTTACCAATCCTACTATTTGAAATAATAGTCCCTGGTATTGTTAACTAAAGACAAATTTATGTTTATAAAATATATTTAATTCAATTTGCATTAAACTATTTTCAGCTAAATTTCGTTTATGTTGCAAGACAAGTGCAAAGATTTCTTTCAGAGTTGGTAGAGGCTCAATAATCAAAATCTGAGACATCACCACACTAAAAGATTCATTTAGTCTTTTTAAAAACGTATTATTCTATCTTCTTCTACATATTGCCTACTAATGCTGGAGACATCACAAGCACATTTAATCTCACAGTTATACATTGGAACTGGCCTCAAATTCGAGAGCTCCTACCACAATATTTTTATATGAGTGAAGTACTCTTGACAAATTGTGCTTCCTGCTTTAATGACGATATCTCATCTTGGAGAGAGGAGACACATTATATTACTTCGCATGAAGCGATCATATAAATCCTTCTACAAATCCTTAGCATAATCTATCCAGATTACGCTTTGTGTTATAGAGGGCGATAACAACCTCGTTATTCAGGACACAACTAAGGTATTACATCGTACCCATGGACGATGCAAATGATTATTCTTTTCAAGTACTGGAACAGATCCATCTACAAAACATAACTTGTTTTTCATAGTTAAAGTCATATATATTGAACAAGACCAAATATGGAAGTTATTACCTGTCAGCAACACAGAAGTAAGTTGAAGAGAGGGATTCTCTTTTAAATGTAGATAATACGAGTTTGAGGTCGTCTCCTTCGTCCTTAACAAGTCTTAACTTGTTGAATCTTCCATGGAATCTTAGATTACAACGAAATCAGCAAAGACGAAAAATAAGGGCTTCCCGAATGCTCATTTTTTACTAGTTAATTGGAATGATCAGAGTGCTCTGATACCATATCAGTTTTGTGGAGAGTTTCAGAGTGTGTTTAGTGAAAAATACACATTAAACAATGAAAATTTGGAAGAAAGATTTATGTTTGGTAAACCAGAAAGTGAGAGAGATACAGAAACTCGAGCTTTGTATTTGGAAAAATGAGAACTGTATTAATGAAGAATTTACAACAATATTTATAGGAGGAACACAACTTTGACTATTTATAAGTTTAACCCTAAACTATGAGTATTTACATTTTGTCCTTGTATTTACGATAATTACAACTTTATCCCTTATAGCATGAAATTAGTCTCTTTACTTATATTATATTCTTATTAATTTTTAAAATTCTATTTAGATTTACTACTTGCTCACATAGTCGCATTGCTGTAAATAATTTTTTTATGAATTTATTGAAGGGAAAGTAAAGCTTTTTCTAATATTTCTCTTTTTTAAAAAGAAAAATTACACTTTTGCTGTCAAAATTATTGCTTTGATATCTTTACAGTAATGTAAAACAAAGACTTGTTAAATTAATATGTTATATACAATTTCATAGTACAGTAATTCAAATTATTGAACTGATTTATAATCAACAGGACATCAAAGAAAGATTTTTTTAATTTTCACTTCTCAGATCCTCGTTGATCAAGCATTCGACAATTCTCTTCTCGATCTATTGGTCCATTGAAGGATAAGCAACGCCTCCTTTCGTCTGAATTATTTAGGGTTGGTTTGGTGATAGATGGAAGTTGATTGAGAGATCAAAGCGGAGGGGAGAAAAAAGATCTTCAAATTGCCCATCTCCATCTCAACAAATCCTTTTCTTACTTCTAAATTGCAGTTCCAAGACGCTGCTCTCGATCAATATGGGGGCAAGGTAGCTCCCCTCTCTTTGATCTTCATTATATTCAATGGCGGCTCCTTTCCTTCATTGTCGATTCACCATTTTCAGGTGCTCTCTCTCTGCATTCGCGGTAATGCAATACGTACCTGCCCGATTTCTCTCTCTCTCTCTCTCTCTCTCTCTCTCTCTTTCTCGCTTTCTGTAAAATATACTGCCTAACCGTAAATCTGAGATAATTCCATGTTAACTTCTCCTTTGCTCTTTTTTTCATTGATTTTCTGCTTCGCTTTCGTTTAGATGTTAACTTCACTGCATATGCCTTTTTTTGGCTACGGAGTTTCTGCTTTGGACGTAGCCAGAACTTTATGCATTTATATCCGGACCATCTATATGTATAGTTAATGAATTTTGAGAATATCAGGGATGAATCATTATGTTGTTGACTTAATGTTCGTTCGAATGACTGAAAATCGGTAGATTGTAATTACCTAGCTGCTAGATGTCGTTAAAGTAACGATCAAGTTACCAAACTGTTTTACTTTGTCTGTTTACTTCAGTATTTAATTAAATTCGAGTTGAGAATAGATGCAAGATGCTTATGTTTCTTCCATGTGCAATTTGTAGTTCTTTGAATTAAAACAAAGATTATAGCAGAAGCCATTTTCAGATTTAGATCTATCATTGAATCATCTTGTTCAGAGTAAGTTCAGTTAGTTATACATAGTCCATATGCTTTTCAGTACATGGTGTTAGACCATAATCTTGATTGTTAAAGCAGGCGTTTAGTTGCAGAGCATTCTCTTAGGTGCCCCTCTGAAGTTAAAAATTACCTTTGTTTCCATTATAGTTAGATTCCAGGAAGCTTCTGATACGAAGGCAGAAAGCTTTTGCAACTTTCTCCCATCAACTGGGTCAGAATCCCTTTTGCTGATTGTTTTAATATAATGCAAAGAACTCTAAGTGGGATAAAAGAAAGTTTACATATGTATAGCCAGTGCTTAAGATTTTTACTCTGTAAATAATTTGTTGATGTAGGTTCAGAGGTTCAAATAAGTCCTGCATTTTATGGGCTTTGCTATGAAGAATTTTGTCTGGACCTTTGCAGTAGCGATGTAGCATGACTTAAGTTTAAATTATCAAATTGGATTAGATATAATTCTATTAAATGTAAAACTATTGTACTATTTAGGAGTCTACTATTACTTAGTTTAATCTTATTTGTGAAAGGTTATTTAGGAAATAGTATGAATATGTTATAATCTAACTTTTAGGACAAAATTCAGTTATTCAATAAAGATCTTGGGAGTCTTTCCTTCAATTTTCTAGTTGTGTGATGCAATAAAACCATTAAGAATGATATTTAGGATTTTTTAGATTTGATATCTAAGAAATTCATTTTTTATAGAAGATATATGATAAAATCTAGGTGTGATATATAGGTTTTTATCACCAATTTCTTGAGTAGTCAAATCAGCCATAATTTGTCTTTTATCTGTATCAAAGGTAAAGGTTTACACCCAGAATTTTAGAATCTCACACCCCAAACAGCCAAGCCCGTTGGACCAAAAAAAAAATAAAATAAAAAAGAAGTTCAAACCCTAAAACCAACAAATCAGCCACCAGCTGCAATCATCTACAACCAGTGTATGGTGATTGACATTGCTGCCACCATCAGTATCAGATACTCCCAATTGGTGAAACCTCAAGGTCTCACTGTGAAATTCTACCAGAAAACATGCTATGCACTTTCGTCCTACTTATACCTTTCTTGTTCCAGGACTTTTCTGCAACCATGTCTCATTTGATACCCAATCTGCAACCACCTATCTCAAGCAAGCCTACTGCTGGAAACCCAATGCCATTTGGTGACCAAGAACTTGCATGCGAGGCCAGCACACATGACGCATGAGTGAACTTTGTCAAATTACCTTAGTGTTAACTTTTTTAGATTGAGTTGACTATACCGGTTCATCTAGTCCAGTTTTAGACCCATCAAATTCTATGTCTACTGTATGGAAAATTTTTAAATATGTGGAATATTAAGGAATAGGACAAGTAATCACACAAAGATAATAAATTTGACAAGTTTTTCTTGGCTGTAGCTATGCACAACAAGGCAGTAAAAGTGAAGGAAGATTTGAAGCGTTCTCCAATATTTTAAATCCTAGCCTGCTGTGTTAATAAATGTAAGAAGTCTGTCATTCATGGAGATTGTTCCAAGATTCTTGTTTTAATCTCTATCATTGAACAACTCAATCTTTCTACCCAGCCACATCTGCAACCATATAGATTAGGTTGGACAGACAATAAAGGATTTTGGTAACTCAACAAGGTTTTTATCTATTCTTCATAGTACCTGTTCAATCTTGTGTGACATTGTCCCTATAATATTCAAACACATTCTTTTAGGTCGACCTTAGTTATATGATCAACATATTCCACAACGAGAGTGCCAATTCTTACCATTTTGTACTTGGAATAATAGTTTTAGTACTTATGATTACAGGAGTAAAATAAATACAGATATCCAAAAGTGCCTATAGTCAATGAGAACTATAAAGGTATGAGCTCATTGAAGCTGAGAAATAAGAACTGTCACATCTTTCTAGGAGTAAAAACTTTGAGGTTATTCCAGACCTTTTACTACCTTAAGAGAGTTATGCCAAAGTTCAGTGTAAGGAGGAACCTAAGCCAATAATTAGATCTGGTGTATTCAAGGATGAAATTGAAGTGCAAATTTGTTAATATTTTGATTTCATCCTCCCACCAAGATTTTGCAATCTTACAACAATTGTGTGTTTCTATTAGTTTTGGCATTAAAGAGAATGACCATGTACGAATTTTTCTAAGTTTCATGAAGAAGCTTGAAGATCAATGTTTTACATAATTCCACCACTTCACAACTCGTGGACAAATTCTCTCCAATTGCAGGAGAATGGTGCAGAATGAATTAAGTTTAAATTGTCTTAAATAGATTAAAACTACAATTTTATTAAATATAAGAATATTATGATGTTTGGTGCTAAATTTAAAGATACTTCATCGTGGGATCAAGTGGTGAGTAGATTTGAGTCCCTTTGGTAAGTTAGAAGAGAGGTTTACTTTATAGGGCTGGAAGACTTGCTCTCATAAAAAGCTTAATGGCTAATATCCCCCATATATTGTATTTGGTCATCCTCCTTGTAAGTGTAGCAAAACATTGGAGGCAATTCAATGTAGATTTCTGTGTGGAGACTTAGAAGATAAAAGGAGGTATCATCTTGTGCCATGGGATAGGTGAAATATTCACCTCAGGAGGCTTAGTTTGGGATTGAGGTCCCTTGTTGAGTTCAATATGGCTCTTCAAGGACAATGATTTGGGAGTTTCATTATGGAAAGAGAGAGTTTATGGAGGAAGGTGACTGCGGCTAAATTTGGGTTGGAGAAGCTTGTTTGGTGTGTCAGAAACACCAGGGGCCATATGGTTTACAGTTGTGGAAGAAATTTAATATTAGCAAGGGAGAATTCTTGAGAACTGATGCAGAGTTGGGTCAGGGGGAAGGGTGAGTTTATGGAGGGATGATTGGTGAAGGGGGGCTCTTTGTTTGTTGTTTCCATCAATTAATCATATAGCTCTAAATTCTTCTAAAGAAAACTGGTACAGCTCAGAACAAGGATATTCAGTGAAAGAATCGTACCTAGGAAATGGCACTTGGATGTTTAATTTAACCAGAAATTTGAATGATTGGGAGGTTGATGACTATCTAAAACTTCTTAATTCTCTTTTCCAGGTGGTAATTTTTGAGGGGATCAAGGATGAACCTACCTAGAGGCTAAATTTGATGGGGCAGCTTCTCAGTCAAATTATATTACCTTTGTTAACCAGAAGGGAAGGTGTCCCCTTGGAAGCTGGTGTGGAAGGTGAAGTTCCACCCCAAGGGTTGCTTTTTTTGTATGGAAAGTAGTTTGGTGATGCATTCTCACTATGGTAAGTTGATAAAGGGGGACAATACTTTGGTAATGGATGCTACTGGCAGAAAAAAAAAGTTGAGTTGTGCAATTACATTCTCCTTTGGTGCCCATTTGCTCACAATCTATGGTCTTTTGCTTATGGTTTCTTGGGGTTGAGCTGGGCAATAGCAGGCACAATGAGGAAGGAGCTATGGGAATGGAAAAACACAAAGTAATAAGTAGTCAGTTAAGCTTATCGTTTTGGTTACCATTTGAGTTATTTTGAGAAGAGAGAAATAAGGCTTGTGAAGGTATAGTTTATAATTTTGATAGATTTAGAGATTCGTGGTTCCAAGTCCTGATTTTTTTGATGAAGGGTCAACCACTTTATTTCAGCGACAGTTTTGGAGACTTTAATGATGGTTTATTAGACTTGTAAATTCTTTTGTATATGGGTTGCATCTTTTTGGTGCTTTTTCAATATATATATATATATATACTTTTTTCTTTTAAATTTTTTTTATTAGGAGTTTATTGTTATAGTTTCAGTAACTTTAAGATATTATCTTTTTAGTATTTAATTTTTCTATTTGTATTAATAATATTATCTCTTAATACTATTAGTATTAAGATTACTTAATTTAAACCTATTTAAGAAAGTTTACTCAGTAAACATTATAAATATTTTTGTAATCTCACTTTTGAGAGACTAAGTTCAGTTATCCAATACAATATTTTGAGAGATATTTATTTTTTTGGTTATGTGATTAGATCAAGACCTTAAGTGTGATGCTTAAGACTTTCTAGATGTAATGTCTAAGAAATACTAAATGTGATATCTAGGTTCTTGTTCTTAAATTCATGAGTAGGTAAATTAACCATATCTTTTCCTACAAAGAGGAAGGTTTATTGGTATGGCATGTTTATGTTGTATGTTATAGGCTTGTCAATGAATTTGTTGAAGTCTAAAGCTGCCTTTTTATTATGCTTCATGACCTCTTTTTTATAATTCAACTTTAAATTTCATGTGAATTTGTTTTCTAATACATTTGTTAATCACGAAGCATGATATACTTTTACCCACCCCCATTGCAGCATCTTGCTTATTTAGTTGCTGGCTGCATGGTCTAAGCATAATTTGAAGTTGTGAGAAGGAACGGGGCTAAGCATGGTGCATCTGAATCCACATACTGGAAATGATCCATTCTGTGGAGAATTCAAGGGCTGTCCCACTAAATCTTCTAGAGGTGCTTTGGCATGTATGGTTAATTCTGAAATAGGTGCTGTTTTGGCTGTAATGAGAAGAAATGTACGGTGGGGAGTCCACTATATGCCAGATGACGATCAATTAGAGCACTCTCTCATACATTCCTTGAAAGAATTACGGAAGCATATCTTCTCTTGGCAAAACCAGTGGCACAATATTGACCCTGCTGTTTATCTCCAGCCATTTTTAGATGTCATTCAGTCTGATGAAACTGGTGCACCAATAACTGGTGTTGCCTTATCATCTGTTAACAAAATCTTGACACTTGATGTGCTTACCCTTGATACTGTGAATGTGGGAGATGCTATGCAGTTAATAGTTGATGCAGTGACGAGCTGCCGGTTTGAGGTAACTGATCCAGCATCTGAAGAAGTGGTGCTGATGAAGATACTTCAGGTTCTTTTAGCTTGCATGAAAAGCAGGGCAGCAGCTAAGTTGAGTAATCAGCATGTGTGCACCATTGTAAATACATGCTTTCGTATAGTTCATCAGGCAAGCTCGAAAGGTGAATTGTTGCAGAGAATAGCACGCCACACAATGCATGAATTGGTTAGGTGTATTTTTTCTCTTCTGCCTGATATCAACATTTCAGAATACTCATTGACTAATGGCAGCAGTTCATATGTTGGTGACATGGTAATTGTTCCGGACAGTTTCTGGTTTTTAATTTCCTCAACCTTTATGTTATAAGATGTTTCCACCACCATGGATTCCTTCCTACCACTTGTCCAAAAATAATATTTGCAGACACAGAGACACTAGAAAGTTGTAATGCTAATTTGAAAACCCATCAGAGCATAAACTGATTTTTCGAGTACTAAAGACTTGCCTCAGTTTTTGTATTTATTTTCGTATCCAAATGGTTACTGTGCACCTCTCTCTCTCTCTCTCTCTCTCTCTCGCTTTCTGATGAAAGGATACAGGGGGATATAACATTAAGGGTGGGTTTGAATCCAGCAATTTTACAATGTACCAGAGATTTTACCACCTGAAAAAAGGCTATCAACTGGCTTTGGAGAAATAGGGCTGGTTCTGTTTCAATATTTAATTCTACAAACTTTGTGTTCCCTAAAAGTGGAGAAAAATGTCTTTGGAGTTTTTGAGGATTCTTAGTGTAAAATAGTATATATCTTTATTTGAATGTGAGGCGTCATTTGAAAGGTTTAACTACTATGTCCAGTGCAAGTGCATGTGAGATGCTCTTCCTCATTTCAAATATTATTATTTAGCCTGGCTGTATTCTTTTTTGTGCAATTTACAGAGACGATATTTTCTTGTGCAGGTGGATAAACAGCTAGAAAATGGCAATGTTAGCATTGAACTTGATGTACAACCATCCGTCGGATATGCATCAAGTGCTCTTTCTGGTAGTATGAAACCAGAGAACAAAATGGATACAAACAACATCTGTGTCAGTGATGAAACAGAGGCTACTGAAAAGACTGAAAAGGTGATGATGGAACCTTTTGGGGTCCCGTGCATGGTGGAGATATTTCATTTCTTGTGTTCCCTTTTAAATTTTATTGACCACGTTGGAATTGGTCCTAGATCAAATCCGATAGCATATGATGAAGATGTTCCACTTTTTGCTCTTGGTTTAATTAATTCAGCTGTTGAATTGGGTGGACCTTCTTTTAGTAAACATCCTAAGTTATTGGGTTTGATTCAGGATGAATTGTTTCGTAACCTGATGCAGTTTGGTCTGTCAATGAGCCCATTGATTCTTTCTACAGTATATAGCATTGTTCACAATCTTTATCATCATTTGCGTACTGAGCTCAAAGTACAACTTGAAGCTTTCTTTTCATGTGTGCTTCTAAAAATTGCTCAAAGCAAGCATGGATATTCATACCAGCAACAGGAGGTCGCTTTGGAGGCTATGGTTGACCTCTGCAGACAGCAAACATTTGTGGCTGAAATGTATGCAAATTTTGATTGTGATATAACCTGCAGTAATGTGTTTGAAGACTTGGCTAACCTGATATCAAAAAGTGCATTCCCTTTGAATGGTCCTTTGTCCGCAATGCAAATTCTTGCTCTGGATGGTCTGATATCCATGATTCAGGGAATAGCTGAAAGGATAGGCAATGAATTGCCTGCTTCAAAGGAGGCTGTAGTAGATAATGAAAGATATGAAGCATTTTGGACATTGAGATGTGAAAATTACAGTGACCCGAACTATTGGGTTCCATATGTCCGTAAGACAAAATACATCAAGAGGAGGTTGATGGTTGGAGCTGATCACTTTAACAGAGATCCTAAAAAAGGTTTGGAATTTCTGCAAGGCATGCATTTGCTGCCTGATAAACTTGATCCACAAAGTGTAGCCTCCTTCTTTAGGTACACATCGGGGTTAGATAAGAATCTCATTGGAGATTTCTTGGGAAATCATGATGAATTTTGCATTTTGGTGCTTCACGAATTTGCCAAGACATTTGACTTCTGTGACATGAATTTAGATGCTGCATTGCGTCTCTTCCTGGGTACATTCAGATTGCCAGGCGAATCACAGAAGATACAGAGAGTGCTTGAGGCATTTGCTGAAAGATATTATGAGCAGTCACCACAAATATTATTCAACAAAGATGCTGCTCTTTTGTTGTCATACTCACTTATTTTGCTTAATACGGATCAACACAATGTGCAGGTTAAGAAGAAGATGACTGAAGAAGATTTCATCCGCAATAATCGGCACATCAATGGAGGAAAGGATCTTCCTCGTCAGTTCCTGTCAGAGCTTTACCATTCAATCTGTGACAATGAAATCCAGATGATTCCAGATCAAGGTGCTGGGTTTCCAGTTATGACGTCAGGCAGATGGATTAATATACTGCACAAATTGAAAGAAACCACTCCTTATATTGTCTGTGATTCTAGAGCATTTCTCGACCATGATATGTTTGCCATCTTGTCAGGCCCAACTATAGCTGCTATATCAGTTGTTTTCGATCAAGTGGAGCAAGAAGATGTTTTACGAACATGTGTTGGTGGATTGTTGGCCATTGCCAAAATTTCAGCGTGCTACCATTTTGGTAATGTATTAGATGATTTGGTTGTGTCTCTCTGTAATTTCACGACACTCTTGACTCCTTTGTCTGTTGAAGAAGCTATTCTTGCTTTTGAAGAGGATACAAAAGCCAGTATGGCAACCACAGCAGTTTTCACGATAGCAAATAAATATGGTGATTATATCCACTCTGGCTGGAAAAATGTATTAGATTGTGTCTTAAGCTTGCATAAGCTTGGCTTTCTACCTACAGAATGGCTAGTGATGCAGCTGAAGATGTAGAACCCTCATATGAGCAGGAGCAAAGGAAGCCTTCAACAAATCCCTTAAAATCATCAAATGTACCATCTACAGCCATTCCTCGGAAATCATCTGGCATAATTGGTCGGTTTAGCCAGCTCTTATCTTTTGATATGGAGGAGACGAAGTTGCAGCCTAGTGAGGAACAGATAGCTGCACATCAGCGCTTTCGTGAGATGATACAGAACTGCCACGTTGATGCTATATTTACGGAGAGTAAGTTTCTTCGAGCTGAGTCTTTACTGCAGCTTGTGAGGGCCCTGACACTGGCTGCAGGACGACTTCGTAAAGGAAGCAGTACAATGGAAGAGGAAGACAATTGTGTCTTCTGCCTGGAGTTGCTGATTGCAATTACATTGAATAACCGGGATAGGATTATGCTTATTTGGCAAGGTGTTCATGAGCATATGTCGAATATTGTTCAGTCAATTCTAATGCCCTGCACACTGGTGGAAAGGGCTGTGTTTGGTCTTCTGAGAATATGCCAGCGGTTGCTTCCTTATAAGGAGAACCTGATAGATGAGCTCCTCAAGTCACTGCAGCTGATATTGAAACTTGATGCTCGAGTTGCTGATGCATACTGTGAACCTATAACACAGGAAGTTATGCGCCTTGTAAAAGCAAATGCAGCACATATCAGATCCCACGTAGGCTGGCGCACAATCATTTCTTTACTATCTATCACAGCACGACATCCAGAAGCATCTGAAGCAGGATTTGAAACATTAGTATTTATAATGTCTGAGGGGGCATACCTCCTTCCTTCTAATTATATTCTGTGTCTAGATGCAGCAAGACAGTTTGCAGAGTCTCGGGTTGGGGAAGTTGGTCGGTCTATTTCAGCCATAGACATGATGGCAGGTTCTGTTGTTTGCCTTGTGAGATGGTCACATGAGACCAAGAGTTCTGTGGTAGATGAGGCTGCTGTGAAAGTGAATCAAAGTATAGGTGAGATGTGGTTGAGGCTGGTGCAAGGACTGAGGAAGCTCTGCTTGGACCAGAGAGAAGAGGTGAGGAACCATGCTATTTTAATGTTACAACGGTCTCTGGCAGTAGTAGATGGGATTCATATTCCAAATTCCTTGTGGTTCCAGTGCTTTGATATGGTTATCTTTACATTGCTGGATGATTTATTAGAAATTGCCCAAGGGAACTTCCCAAAGGATTATAGGAAAATGGAAGGAACACTTGTTTTGGCTACGAAACTCATGTCAAAGACTTTCCTACAATCATTGCAAG